TGTACAGACACCAACACAATCTCATTACTCTGTCACAGGCCACACAAGGCATTAATAAAGTTATATCAAAGATAGCATAGTGTGAAACTTGTCTCCGTCAGAGATGCTGTGGATCCAAGTAGATAAGCAGATGAATTTGACAGAAAAGGCTCTGTGCTTTATGGTACTGCCTAAATAAACACAACACGCATGTGAGGGCTGTATAGACAATAACACAGCAGATATATCATTGCGATAGGGAAAATAAATTATGCATTAGAGATGCTATCACAAGTATGGTTATAAGAAACCAAATCAGGAAGAGACTGGGTGGTTAGGGTTGGGTATGATAGACTTTTATTGATTTATCAATTTATATTGTTTGTCTGAGCATGTTAAGGGACAAATTTTTAATGACCCACCCAGTGATGAACTGTTTGCACTGACTAGATGTAGAGCACTTAAGTTCAAAATCCTGTCTTCACTGAGACTTGATGTTTTGTGGGTACATTTTTAAACAAGAGTCTTATAGTTTCCACAACTTTGCTGTGACACAAGCTTTGGAATATTCCAGACACCATTTTCAGTCTGTCTCACGCTACATACTAATTCTGAGCTTATTAAAAACAGTGGCAAGAAAAAGTAAGTGAAATAAAATATATTAAATCATCGAAGTTACCATGAAACATATGAACAAAAGCAATCTATTTTAACTATTAACACCCAAATCATTGTGCTGTTCTTGTCCATACTGAAAACATCATTCAAACATTCACAGTGTAGGTTGGAAAAAGTATGTGAACCTCCATCCTAATGACATTTACAAAAGCTAACTGGAGTCAGGAATGATCAAATCTGGAGTCCAGTCAATGAAACCAGTTTGGATGTGTGTGTATTACAGCTACTTTAACTTATAAAATAACCACTCAAACATTTTGGGCTCCCTAATCACAAGAAGTATCCTCTGATGTAACCCGTGCCTTAAAAAAGAGACCTCAGAAGACTTGGGATCCAGAATTGCTAATTTGAAACAGTTTCAATATTCACAAGTCCACAGTCAGACAAACTGTCTATAAATAGAGCCCTAGTTCTGTGGCTAAACTAAAGGTTCAAAGTAATTATTGAAGCTGGTTAAGAGCTGGCACCATGGAAAAAGCCACTGCTCTCAAAAAAAAAAAAAAAATCACTGCATGTCTGAAGTTTGCCAAATAAATTCCCAAGTCTATCAAGGATAATGTCAGGGTGGCTGTCTCCTCAGTAGAAGCTGGGTGATGCAGCATCTCAATGACGCTAAACATCAAAGTAAAGCTACGACAGAATGACTTCAAACAAAGAAAATCCACCTTCTCCAGTCAGAGCCCAGACCTTAATCCAACAGAGATGCTGTAAAATGACCTTGAGGGCTGTTCACACCAGACATTTTAAGACTATAGTATATAAGGAGGAGTGGACCATAATTCTTCCTGAATATTCTGTAAAGGGAGGTTTGACCAGTTATTAAATCCAAGGGTTCACTTATTTTATCCACCAGCACTGTGAATGTTAAATTGGTGTGTTCAATAGACACAAAAGATTAAAATGAAGTGTGTGCTATCAGCTCAAGCTCATTGCATTTGTCAATACATGTGACTTAGATGAAGATCAAATCACATTTTATGATCAAACTCCAAAGGATTCACATATTTTTCTTGCCACTGTGTGTAGTGTGCTCACACTGGAAAAGTGGAACAATTAAGTAACCTCAAAAAAGTCAGTATTAAGTAAGTGTGTTGTTGGTGCTGTTTTGTGTCACAATGCAATAAACAAAGGGAATTGAGGAAGTACCCACAGCTGCAAATATTACAATAATTGCAGACGGTGGCTGGAGCAAGATTTTGGAAAACAAACAAAGTATAGAAAAAAGTACATCTTTGGAAAAACATTTAACTTTCTCTGTTTAGTTGAATTGACCGTGCTATTCCATATGTGTAGTTTTAAAGATGTATTGCAGCGCATGTCTGTTTATACACTAACTAACAATACTACTATAGAGTAAGAACTAGTATATAGTACATGCTGTATAAAATTAGGAGTGGTATTATGGAATTGGGACACAGCTTGGGTCTCTGAGTTAACATGCACTCGTAGTGTGTCATTAGTGGCAGAGGCCAGTTGTAGAAAGTAGAGAATTTATTTTTACCTTTACATCGTTTTATCTTGATACAGCTTTTCTATTTAGCTAAATGACTGGATGTTTTCTGTGTTGCTACATGCTAGAAAAAAGATGAAATATTTGTGAGCTTCCATTGAACACAAATTTAATGAGGCCTGGTATTTTACCTGGTAATAGGTTACACATGAAAGCAGTTTATTGAAGCCAACCACAGAGGAGGTTTAGTGTAGAGAGAATTAGTGTGACCACTAACATGCGTGTGTCACAGGTAGGAGTAACCTGCCAGTATGTGAGCTTGTCATTTTCATTTTTACAAGTGAAAGTCTTCATGCATGTCTGATGTTTTAGATATCGACAGTGCATTGAAGTCATCTTTGTAGCTCTGTTTAAAACTGGCGTACATGAACACGGTTACATCTTTGACAAAATCATCTTCAAAAGATTCATACATTTTGTGCAACTCTTCAAAGAGACATGTACTGTATTTTTCATGGAAGCAGTTGTGAGGAGATGTAGAGTAGAAGCCACGCAGTTGGAAAAGGGAAGGCAGTTTTGTTTTTTGCAAAGAGCTGCCAAGATCCCCATTAAAAACGGCACAGGTTGGAGAGAAGTTCAGTGTAAAGGAAGGTGGAGAGAGAAGCAGGGAGAGATGAAGATTAGTGCCAGAGAGAAAGCACAGGCATGCAAAGAAAGGTTTTGTTACCAGATACTCAGAAAGGGAAATAGATGAAGAGTCAGAACACCCAGAGAAAGAGAGAGGCAGAATGAAATTGAGATCAATACACACCTGCAGCAGCGTGTATTTTTGTCTTTGCACAGAGACTTAGTTTGGAATATCAATGGAGACTCAGCTGAGATGTCAATGTGAAAAACAAAAAGGATGAGAGGGGAAGCGTCGAGGAAGAGGGGTGGATAGACACAGAAAAGGGAAGACAACAGAAAAAAAGAGAAGCTGAAAGAGCCAGATGAGGGGAATTAATAATGGCATGAGAGACAGAGTGGCCCCAGAAATAGGTGGCAAAATAACAATACAAAATGGAAAGCTGTGACACATGGGAGAACTGATATTGAGAGAGATTGAAAGCCAGAGAGAGGAAGTTGGACAAATGGAAAGACGGGAAAAAAATTAGTTTCCGACCGATGAGACGAGATTTGAGCAGAGGCGTGAGATAAATGAAGAAGTACAGTGGCCTGTGTCGAGGGAAAGACTAGCAAGACAACACAACAGTGACCAGAAGTGATGTGAGAAGGAAAGAGCTGTCTGGTGTTGATACAGAGAGGGAGAGTAATGTCTTTGTTTTGAAACAACACTGTTACAGGTGGCAGGTAAAGTTTAGAGGCTAGGAAAATGTTTTTATATCCTCAAATCTGCCATCGTTTCTCTCTTAAACTCTCCTGTCTGTCTCTCAGATTGTCATTCTGTCTACACCACTTCTCCCCCTCATTGATGTCAGTATTGGTGTGTCTGCTGCAAACACACAGATAGAGATACAGCATACGCCCATTCATGTCCTGTTTATTTTTGCTACCCTGAGGTAACAAGTGAAACTGCAAAGTGTCTACACGTACCGTAGTGTTTTTACAAACGGTATATAACTTCTGTATTTGTATCTCTTTTCTCTACAGATTCTATAAATAAGATTAATCTTACCAGGGCTGCAACTACCAAGTTTCCAGAATCCATTCTCAGAATCTATTTAGCTGGACTCCAGAACCCCAAGTCATATCTTAAAATATCTTAGGCTCATGTTTGTATATTTACTGGATAAATTACTAAAACTGCTGGCTTAACACCTCACCTGCTTGGCACAGTTTAAATACACTCAAACAGTGAAAAGTGATGTCATGAGCAACTATACCACTATAAGTGGTGTTGTATATTGCTAGAAGCTCATTTCTCAGATACATCAGAATGTGAAAAGGGGAGGTTTTGTCCAAATCCATGTCATCTGGTAAAGCTGCATTAAAAAATAAGTGACAGTTTGGTCTGGCCCAAATGAACTGAGCTACCTCAATCAGTTATCAAGATTATAGTTGATTCATATATTAATTAAATTACTTAATGTTTCATGAATAATACAGGAAATATGACGAGCGAAGAGGAACAGGTGTAAATAATAAAAGAAATGATGACTGAATTTGATTTAGCTGCTTCAGTTTCAGGGTCCTGATACTGTGAATGCCTCCCTGTCACACTGTCATGTTTTACTGGGACTCTTGAATAGAACAGATCCATCTATAATGTTATTAGTCAGATCTGTGACTTCCCTGCTATGACAAGGCAAAATGTCTCCTGTGAAAAAAGACTGTTGAGGAGCTTCATCCTTTCCCATTCAAAACATGACTGTTCCTGTACAATTGAGTTAAACACAAATGGGCAGCTAATGAAAGCTGACAGGGAGTCACTGATTTAATGAAGTGAAATTCAAAGAAGAAAAATGACTCATCAGTGTAAAATACAAAACTCTCTCAGCATACAATGGTAGTTTATTTGATTAATGTATTAAGCCATTTAAATGAAGTGAGGCTCGATGAGATTCTCATGGATTGGCAACTGCTCTTTGTTTCCATACCCTCCCAACAAAGTGCATGCGGGGAGATATTGCAACACAATGGGAGGGTGAAAAGGAATAAGACTAGAAGGAAACATGCTGCTTGTCTCACCCCACTAACTTCACTCTTTAATTTCATCAGGCTGTGCAGTCTGTTTTTATTTCTTTGGCTGAGCATGTGTATTAATTTAAATTTTCTAAGATAATCTCATGTCTGTCCCTTTCTCCTTCACACTCACCCCAATCTTCCATTTTCGCAATTATGTGCCCCCCTCCATACCATTCCTCCTCCAATCTCTGGCTTTGTTTTATCTCAGGTGGAGCTGGAGAGAGGGAAGATCCTCCACATCAAGGCGCTGGCACTGGGCGACCTGAACAAGGCCGGTCAGAGAGAGGTCTTCTTTGAGCTGAACGGACAGCTGAGATCTGTGCTGGTTAAAGACACCTTGGCCATGAAGGTATGCAGAGGGGGGATGGTTTGAGAGAAGGATAGATGTCAGTGCAGGTCAATAGATAGATGGCTAGAGGGACTGAGGGGGTGGAAAGGTTCTCATTTTCTATGTTAAACCTAAATCTAAGAAACAACTAAACAAATTTTATTATGGTTCATTTGACAATCACAAGTGATTTTTATTCAAAGAAACAAATCACTGTGAGGGAAGATGGAGGCTCATCAGGGAAAAATGTTTGAATGGGTGGTTGAACAACTATATTGATGGGTCATTGTGTGGATGAGTGAATAAATGGGAGGCATGTATGGATGATCAACTGGACAGATGGATGCATGAAATCTCTTTTCCCTCCACCCAGGAAATGAAGTTCCATCCCAAGGCTCAGAAGTCCATCAAGGGTCAAGTGGGAGCACCCATGCCTGGAAAAGTCCTGGAGGTCAAAGTGGAAGTCGGGTCCAAGGTCAGTTTATTGTCAACTCCCTCTTTACCCTCAACATTTCAGTTTTCATCAGATTTGATTACCTTTAGTTAAAGGGTCAGTTCACTTTAAAAAAAAAACAACAAATTGACACTTAATTCTAGTAGTACCTAGCCCTGCAGATAGTTTTAGTTTTGTTAATTTATATGTAGTTCCTGATTGAAATAATTTTTTACTGTATTTGAAAGGTTCTTGTATCTAGCATTTGGAAAGATTGGCTTCCTTTGCTAAATTAACTAAAAGGGTTTTTAATTATTGATATGTTTATTCCTGAAAGTAAAGTATCAAGAAAAATGTCATTTGTCAGCCTGACCAAAACAGTTTTTCAGACGCCCCCCAGCCCTGTCCACTTGAGATTTCTGCCTCTACACCAGTGCAGTGCAAGTGTGCTGCTGGGTATTGTTTCAAAACGTTTCAGTGCTGATAAAAATGCTACTTTTCTGATTCTTTGCTTTGAGGAATAGAAACAAAATCTTCTTGTGGTTAAACTCTTTGACTGTACTTTTCTTGTTAACCCTCAGCTACAGCGCTTGTTCAGTGGTCTGTACATTTGACTCGTGTTTTTAATGCTCTGTGAATTATCTTTATTATCATGAAAGGTGGAGAAGGGTCAGCCGCTGTGTGTCCTCTCTGCCATGAAGATGGAAACCGTGGTCAACTCCCCGTTGGCCGGGACCATTAAGGCTGTCCATGTCACGGCCGACGCCTCCCTGGAGGGAGATGACCTGATACTGGAAATCGAGGAGTAGAGTGAGAGGGCAGAAGGAGGGAGGGGGAAGTTAGACAATCTGATTTAGGAAATTGTGAAAGGTGAAGGAACATGATTTTTTTTTTTTTTTTTTTAAAGAGGAGGATAAGGAATAACAGGAATCCTTTAAAGACATAGATCTCTTCTGTGGTAGTACTGTAGGATATTTTGGCCCCGATTTGTACATAGTCTGTTCAGTTACACTGGGGACACAAAATGAAGCACAACATATATACAGACCTGATGGGTGCAAAGAGCAGATGATATGACAATCCTAATGGGAATTCCTTACTGAATTGTACCACTACTCAGTCTGCATGTAATTCCCTAGATGCGGTGATTAGATCAAACAACAGTATATCTTCTAATGTCCTGTCAACTTGTGGAAAAAAAACATTTTTAGAATAACATCCAGTATATTTGAATTGTTATGCATTCCACTTAAATGCTAGTCTTAAATGTGATATTCTATAATGAGCTAACCATGTGTAACACTAACAGGGCCATAACATCTACTTTCCACAATTTCCATTTCTAAGCTGTTGATGTTGCCTAATATATTAAAGCTGAGTGGGTGAAACTATTTTGTCTTTGTAATCAGCGGGGTTCAGAGGGAGGACAGACTTGAGGATGTATAACCAAATCATTTTTTCATATGGGAACATTATTTTCGTTTTCTAGCATGTTTGCCTTTGCAACACATTATCAGTCTCTTACATGAGTCACTGTGCATTCTGGGAATGTGTGATCACTGGTTGCAATTAGACTCACTCTTATTTTTGTATGTAAAAAATTTAAACAAACTGATCTTTGTAAAAGAAAAAGTACAGGGGGCATATTTAAAAAAAAAAAAAAACATTGTTTTGACTAACCTGTTTTTTCACAATAAGAGCACCACTTTAGGTTGACATGGACACAGATAAACATGCCAGAAATGTTGCACCAAAGTGAAAAATTTATTCTGTTACTGTATCAGTAATAGTAGACGGTTTTATTTTTTAAAGATCTGTGCTGCTGTTGAACATGTTTCCCCACTCATACCTGTCTTAAAATCCCCAAGCAGAGGCAAGTTGTCGCAACATTGTTAATATGAAGCTGTAGGCCGCATTGGACTCACCCAAACAGGATTAGAGATGTGATTTTGACAAAGTACCTTGGTGTAAATGTGACTTTTACGATCCTAAGACAGCAGTAGGGTGCCCCAACCTAACCAGCTGAGCTCTATCTGCTGTATCAATTGAGACGTATTAAGTCACAGAGTCTTAAGGTGGCTTTTAAGCCCTTTTTAAGTGTCTGGTTTAATAGTGCGATGTTGGAAAAGTTGTCCGGGCAGCAGTTTCACCCTGTCTTTTCAGAACCAGGCAGAGATTACGGTGAATGGTCTTCTGTCTGCATGGGGATTTTAATGCTAGGTGTAAATGGGATTACATGGTGGTGTAATGGAGGCGTGTGGTGTTATTTTCTGAGGCTCTGCTGATTAATTTATGAATTAATTCTGTCAAATGATGTGAAATTAGCCGGACTAATAAGAGACTCTGGAGACTCCCAGTAGCAGCACTCAGCTTTATATTTCTAATGCGTGTGAGTGTGTTTGCATAAATGAGTCTAAATGTCTGTGTGTATTGGTTCAAACCAATTTTAAGACAAAGTCAACCAGTCCCCATAATGTTGCACCTCCAGAGCTGAAACATTGTGAAAGAAATGAAATATTCATACACACGCACGATGCAAAGTATTCATGCTAACACTCCTCGCCCTTGAGTGCTGCCTGGATCAAAAGAAAACAAAACCAAATACACTGCACGTTGGTGTGGCTACGTCTCCATAGTAACACTATCCAAAACATTTAATAGCAATGCAGCAGCGGCTCTACTCAGCTGTCAGACAATGGTGTTAAATACTGAAATTAGACTTTGTTCTAACTACACTAATGTCAGCTGCAGGCCTCTTAACTGTCCGAGGGTCTTACATCTGAAAGTGATCTATGCCGAACTGAATGTGCACCTACCCTGACCAGTGAAAGTAGACAGTGATCACATATCAAGTACAGTATAAAAGGAATTGTCACTATCTCTTTGTAATACAGTGGAGCGGGGTGTGTTTGGGACACCGAGCCAGAAAAGACAACAGCTTACTCTCCAAAGCCTCTGTGCACCTTGGACAGAGCACATCGATCGAGACACAAAATTGAACTTGAATCACTTTGTATTCGACTGGATTGTTTCCAGAATTTTTGCACCATTACCTCTGAGAATGAGTCCCCTTTTGAACTATGCCTCAATACTGAGCAGCGCTGCCATACTTAATTAGAAGACTGATACGTCTCCTCACTCTCCCAACCCACCGCAATGCTTCACTGTACCTCCTGGCTGTATCAATCTGTAAGAGACAAAGATAAAGTGGTGGGAATGTATGGATGAGTGTTTTTGACAAGCTGTTGCACAAGAATATAATGGTCCCTCCTCCTCTCCTTTTTAGCTCTTTTCACTCTGCTTTTCCTCTCCTTTCCCACTACAGTGTAAATTTGCACATGTAAGGTGTTGGCCTCAACTCATGCAATTATGTCTTAGCCAGCAATTGCAACAACTGTGCTTACGGCAATATACTACTGTTCAATGTCTGGGGAAAAAGAATAAATCAGAAAAAGTACACACAGCTGGAAAATGTTATTTGTTTCAGACAGGGGGATATAAAGTTGACCTATTCTTGAGCTCATGCGATCTGGAGGTGAACTGTCGCAGAGCATGAAAATAGGGTCTGTGACATTTCTATTTTCTTTCTATTGCTTTCATTTGTGTTTTTATGAAACCAACCAAACTGTTTATTTACTCTTTCAGTTTAGCAGGCGTGACCGCCTGCAGATTCAAAATGTCTGTGGAATTTTTTGTCATTTCTACATAATCCTAGTTTGAAATCGACATTTACTTGTTGAGGGTCTTAGTATGTTCCTCAGAGCGACTATGAGCTGGAGCCCACAAAAAGGGAAACAAATGGTATCAAATAAAAGCGATAATTGTTCTTGTTCTATCTGTACTTACAAATAAAGTTAACTGTAACTGAACTTCTTGTGTTGGTGTAATGCATATTTTCACAGCAGGCATGAAGACTCAATTAAAGGCCAGTGTTGGATGATGTTTTTTTAAGAACAAATATCGTAACCACAAATCAGCCGAAAATGTATATTTCATCTGAAAGCTTAAGTCCCACATCACATATCAAGCTGTCGAATCATAGCTTTCAGAATAATGTGTCCAACTAGTAATTAGATTTCAAGAATACATTTTCAAGTTGAAAAGACTTCTCTCACAAGCCAAAATCCTTCTGATCAATGCAAGTAATTTAGCCTGTGCAATTTTCTCACATTTATTACCATAATGTGACAGGGATATAGTGGATTGTTGGAGCCACACTGTCTTTGGGTTATTTTACACAAGCATGCTCATTCTGCTCTCTCAGCCCACCCTCCCTGCTCATCAGAATTCACTTCTCTGATTGGTGCTTTCCAAACAAGCTAATTCCTGAATGTGGATCTACACTGACACCCTGCTGTCTCTTAAACAGGTTCTATGGATCTGATTAACCACAGTAAATCAATCAAGTATATTGATCAGCTGCCACCTCCACTGTTAGGTGTGTGATCGCTGAGGAGATTGATTAAGCTTGCATATGGACTGGGGGAAGCTTGAGTATCACTGATATTAATGCACCACAACGCCATGCATGACTGGCTTGTCACCACTTTGTAAACTGGGTTAACTGGAAGTGTTGCTATGGCTCCAGGATGAAAGAGTAGCCTGATACTTAATTGTCTCCAGATTAAATCACAGGGGCAATCTTGTAACACGATGGATGTTATGACCCACTTGTCAACTGACTTGAGTGACAGCTTTGATTAATAACAAAATTTAATTAGCATATGTGAATAGAGGAGTGGAAGAAAACAGTCTGCCTGTGATGACCCCGATTGGTTCGCTGATATCCCCAGAAACGAAGTATGTGGACATCTGTGACTAAATTCATCATTTTGATAAAGCAGAACATATTTTGTCCAAGTGCAGAGAAAAACTTTGATGAGAACTATTTCACAAATCACCCACCTGAAGTTTTCTTCAGTTTATGTCCTTTTAATCAGAATACTGAAAGTCAATCTATTCCCATGAAGACAACAAACCTCCCCTGCTCTGACAATCTAATTCCACAATCAAACATCTATATAAAGTAATCTTTAATTCAAGCACACATGTACCAACGGGTTCCTGTGGCTTTAACATGCTATCACACTGTGTGTGACATGCAGACTATCGATGATTGGTCTGCATTAGACACATTTACAACAACAACAAAAGAGTCCTAAGTTCTCACTTAATGAGGCCTCTGGTGGTATCCTTGTGGTCAAAGCAATAATTTGTGTTTCAATTGAATATTTATGCAGTGATAATGATCGCATTAATGGGAGAACTACTAATCTACAATAACAGATTAGTCTGTTCCCATGGCAATGGAGATATAAAGTCATTGAGAGGAAATTGGATCGTTATGAATATTTAATTCCATTTTTTTATGTGTGGGACAAAACTTCAAAGTAAGTGACACTTCCCAAATTCTTTAAGTAACAGAGACTTCCAAAATGAGGCTAAACTCTCTTAAAGCTGTATTCCCTGTTTGGTCCACTGTGGGCATCAGTAATCACACTGTGTTGAAGAAAATTGGGAGTTTAGCAGCGTAATGATGGAGCCTACTTTTGTTAAAGGCACCCTGTGGAGTTTTCATTTTAAACCAACTGTTTTGTTTAATTCAACATTTTTCACAAATTGTGAATCCTTAAACAGGTTGAATACATTAAAAATCTTACAATGACGACAGCGACTAACAATTATTTCTATTTTTTATTAACCTGTTGATATATTGATTAACTATAAAAATATAATGACAAAAACTGTCTATCGCAATTTCCAAAGGAAATTTAAGCAATGAAATGTCTGTCATTTCATTGCTTGTCACAGCGCTTAAAGCAACGAAACTTTCTGTGCCTGAAATGCGTTTCGGGGTTGGCTGTGTTGCATATTGCAGCCTGTTTCAGAGAGACAAGGACACCAAATCTAATCGTTTCTAAACAAGCCTATTCATTGCAGAGCTTTTTCAATGTAGCGCGATGATGTGCATTACTATGCCAACACTTCTGAGGCATAAAATGGCATGAAAAAGTAATAGTAACCTATAATAACACATTAAAAAGTCAAGCTATGACAATGTCATATTATATCAATGCATTAAAAACCATACTAAAGTAAGGCATAAAAGGTCATGGTGTAAAAGTATAAAAGGTCATAATTTAGGCTAGTATGTCATAAAAACGTCAAAAGGCATGAATGTCAAAACTGCCAAAGAACGTTATACTATATTAAGACACAAAAATGTCATAGCATAAAAACGTCAAAACTCCTCACACTCAAGTAAAGGAAAATAATGATAAAAAACGTCATACTACACTAATGGGTTAAAAACAATTAAAAATGTTGAAGTACAGGAAGGCATGAAACATTAAAGAACGTCATAGTATAGTAAGGTATAAAAAGTCATAAAAATGACATAGTATAGTCAGGCATAAAACGTCAAAAATGTTGTACAGTAAGGCATAAAAAGTCATGAAAACGTCATAGTATAGTAAGCCAAAAAAAGTGATAAAAATACCATAGTATAGAAAGGCATAAAAAGTCATAAAAACGACATTCTATATCAAGGGATAAAACCAATAAAAAACGTCATAGTATAGTAAGGCATAAAAAGTCATAAAAACATCATAGTATAGTATGCCAAAAAAAGTGATAAAAATGCCATAGTATACTAAGGCATAAAACGTCATAAAAACGACATAGTATAGTAAGGCTAAAAAAAAAATCATAAGAACAACATAGAATAGTAAGGCATATAAGCGTCATAGTATAGTAAGGCAAAAAAAGTCATAAAAACGTTACAGTATAGTGAGGCATAAAAATGTAAAAAAAAAAGGTCAAGCTATAGTAAGGGATAAATACGACAAAAAGGGTCATAGTATAGTAAGGCATAGAGCGTCATAAAAACATCATAGTATAGTATGCCAAAAAAAGTGATAAAAATGCCATAGTATACTAAGGCATAAAAAGTCAGAAAAACGACATAGTATACTAAGGCAAAAAAAAAAATCATAAAAACAACATAGAATAGTAAGGCATAGAGCATCATAGTATAGTAAGGCATTAAAACGTCATAGTATAGTAAGCCAAAAAAAGTGATAAAAATGCGATAGTATAGAAAGGCATAAAAAGTCATAAAAACGACATTCTATATTAAGGGATAAAACCAATAAAAAACGTCATAGTATAGTAAGGCATAGAGCGTCATAGTATAGTAAGGCATAAAAAGTCATAAAAACATCATAGTATAGTAAGTCAAAAAAAGTGATAAAAATGCCATAGTATAGTAAGGCATAAAAA